ACCTTCTTGAAATCGTTTCCTTATCAATATTTGGTGTTACATGGCGATATCATGTCCGTCTATGTCCAAAAAAATATGAAGACAGTATTTTACGGTTCCTCTCCACTTACCGTTGTCAACAAGGTCTTTTAGCAATGTGTTTGAATTAAATAGTAGGGTAGACTATGCTCACTAGCCGTGATTGCTAAGAAATCTAGAAGGACAAATCTGAATTCACAAAGCCAACTGAGGCTGTATAAATATGATGAAACGGTGGATACAATGTCAGGTTTGTTTGTTTAGCGGCATATCGATACCTTATGGGTCATTTAATGCCGAAATTTAATTTTCTTGGGAGCATTAGTAATTTCTTTTACAAAAAATGTATTTCTGCTTATTTTTGTTTTCTTTTAAAATATATTGTTGATAATTTTTTATTTTTTTACAAAAATGTATTTCTGGTCTTTTTTTTTTTTTTTTTTTTTTTTGACTATGAAAATTTATTGCTGGTATTTTTACTACAAAAATTTATTTTTATGATATTTTTGTTTTGAGCGAAATTTAGGGGTTAACTATTTGCCCATAGCTGGGACCCTAACAGATACTACCACTCCGGGACCTGGGAACAACAGCAATTAAGAAGTCGTTCCATACTCCTCAAAACCTCCAATCTCCCGATCAGAAGCCTTGCTGCTCGATGTAGTTTATTATCATATCATGTCTCGAAAACACACACACACACACACACACACACACACACACACATATATATATATATATATATATATATATATATATATATATATATGCGTGTGTCAGTCTGAAGCTGTGAGCAGAATTAATTTACTTTCTAAAAAGAGCCAAGTTCATCAGACTCTTTAAATGTGTACCAATGAATTGAATAAAATTCTAAACGAATTCTTCTTGTCTGTTAGCTGTTCTGTGATGTCTGCAGCTTTTATACTATGTTCATCTCAAATGTTACGCCAACACAGACGACCAGGACGAAAAGATATGCGGGAGGAAAAAGTTTGAAAACTCATGATCGATAAACTCGTGCGTATCTGACGAAATAAAAAAAAAATAAAAAAAAAACAAGATATTTGACTTTGTCGTAAAACGGACGATAAGAAACGTAAGACTCGTTTATTAATTGTTTGAAAATCTGCACCGGACTCTATGCTTGTGAATCGGTCGCAGATTTACGACACGAAGCGCCACTTGGTATCAGAGTTCCTGACATTTATATATTTCCGTTGCTATTCAATTACTCTCGACATTGACGTCCTTTTTCTATTATTAGAGGCTTTTACGCTTAGTTCTCTGTTATTTTGTATCATTTTTCCTTCTCTCTTCGTATATTCATCATTCTCGCTTTCCTTCTCTCTCTTCCCTCCTTTATATATATATATATATATATATATATATATATTTGTGTGTGTGCCTAAGTCTGTATCTGTATCTGTGTGTGACTGATACACATTATTGTTGAACGTTGCTGACATGATTTTCTACGTTTTCATTTATCAGATTCTGATATATATATATATATATATAATCATTTTTTAAAATAAATTTTCGCTACACAGTTCCAATCTTATATCTTCATAATGCCACTAAGTCGCCAGGGCTTACTGAAAGTGAAAAGGAATGAGAAGACTTAAGTGGGGAGAAAGGTAAAAAAATGAACTGTTTTACGGGAGACAGAAGATGACGATTTACATTGCATTTAAATTGAGTCCCACAGGCGAGAAAACAAACTATTAGAATACTACTTACGGTTACATCTAGCTATTTCAACAGTAAAACGATGGCATCTAGTTGCCAATCTAGCATAAATTCATGCGGTTGAGGTACCAATGAGGTCAGTTCATTGGAACAATTATTTAATTCCAAACAAATAATATAGCGATACTTGAACTTCTTGAAACACTTTTGATTTTCTTTTCTTTTTACTTTGCCTTTTCACACTCCTGAAAATGACTCATGTCAGCCTAAAGCTCGGACGTAGCCTTGATTTTGGATATTTTTTGCATTTGCGGCAGCCAGGATTTCGGAAGTTGATTTGCAGATTCGAAAAGACTATGGATAAATTCATTTGACATTATTAACAGAGAGATGCAATCGCCCAAAGGACATTTAAAATGATATACAATGTTGGTCTTTTGTAAAACGCCAGTTGATGGAGAAGAGGTATTTTGTTAATAATATTTATGCTGGTTTTACGACAACGACCATGACGAGAAGGCTTAAGTATATCCACGAGGATAGAATGTGGCACAAGGCCGGTTTAATGTGGGCATACCCGAGCCCATAGGCTCGGCCAAAAATAAAGCAACTTTTTGAATCCGCCTAGACGGATTCAGGCCCTGTTTGAAATTTTTTCCCCTGAACGAAACCTTGCCCTTCGGAAAATATTTTCGTCCAGGTTCCTCTGATCTAATGCAGAGAGTTCGACTCGGAAGCTCACAAAGACAGCGGACTACACTTTGATCATAGCCTCCGGCCGAGAAGGCTTAAGTATCACTTAAACGATCATAGTTCAATCTCGGAGCATTTAAAGGAACACTCATGTCCACATTCACAGTTTAGACAAGTATTATTTAAAATACAACGGTACACCACCAAGATAATAATAAGCAAAAACTAAAAATTCTAGAAGCTCTTTACATAAGAGAATTGCAACCAAGAATAAACTCAACTTCGAATATAGCAGAAAAGTTCATAAATGTTTATAAGCAGCAAAGTTCATAAATGTTTATAGCAGCAAAGTCTTTAAAAATTCTAAATTAGAATTGTCAAAAACTACAATTTAAAATTTTTTTAAAAACCCATAAAAATATACTCCTAACGAAATCACATAAGTTACCTCCCTTGAATAACGGATAAATATTTTCAATTTTGAAGTGTTCAAGCACACATATCCACAGACACTCAAACCTTAATCTCGGAATGATCTTGGAAGAGATTGAAAGTAAGAGGGAAAATAAAATTATTTGAAAGAAAATTTCGGAATTTTTCTTGATCAATTTTCTACGGCTACCAAGAAAATAATCCGTGGAAATGACATGATTAAAATTAAAATAAATAGAGATAATACGTTTAAATTATTTAACCAAATATGCTTGAATAAAAATATGTAGCCTAAATACATACACACACACACACACACATATATATATATATATATATATATATATATATATATATATATATATATATATATATATAATGCCACCCCCTTTTTATCCACATATTCTTTTACATGTTTCATACATTTTTACATTTCTCTTTTTGCATCTTTCTTTTTTGTCTAAATTCTCCCTATTCTATTTTGTTCCTTTACGATACTGTTCTATTTTCAGATATTTGTCCTTTCTTCTTTAGCGACCTTTCTCGCAATTATCTATTTGAATCTGATCGTATCTATCTATCTGTCTGTCTATCTATATATATATATATATGTTGGACTCCCCTGGCGTCTTCGATGTATGACTATCCAACAAATTCAGGTACAGCAATTGCAGACCATTCGTATATATGATATTTTTTAAATAGTGAAGGAGTTACGCAAAAGCCTCCATATTTTTCAGAAAAACTGAATACAGAGGACAGGTGCATGTAGTGTGCCTCCTTAGGTCTTAAAATCCTTATCCTAAACTAGCTTCCAATCAAGGATTAAGAACCCAGTCTCTCTTACTATTTAAGAGAAGAGATGGATTTATAGATTTGTCAAGATTATTTGCCCGTATAAGAATATAACAAAATCGGCTATTCAATTTTGCATTCCGATCTGCTATCATTGCACCACCCGCACATTCTCACACACACACACACATATATATATATATATATATATATATATATATATACAGAATAAGAGAATTAAAAATAATTTCTCTCTTTCTCTCTCACTCTTTCTCACTCTCACTATCACTCTCTTTCTCTCTCTCATTCTTACCTACACTCTTTTTCCCTCTCTCTTTTTCTCTCAAACTCTCTCTATCTCACTCTCTTTCTCTCTCTCTCTTATATGCTCTCTCTTTTTCTCTCTCTATCGCTCTCCCACTCTTTCTCTCTCTCTCTCTCTTTCTCTCTCTCTCCCACTCTCTCTCTCTTTTTCTTTCTCACACTCTCTCTCTCTTTTCTCTTTCTCTTTCTCACACTCTCTCTCGTTCTCTCTCTCTCTTTCTCTTACTTGCCTTCTCAGGAAATTCTAGAAGAAAAAAGAAGAGAATGAGGGAAACTCGACAAAAGGCTTCAAGCCATGGCGATAACTTAAAAATGTGTGCAAACAAAGTCACCTCGACGTGGTATAATGGTTAGCAAGCTTGTCTCGCTAGAACCATTACAGCTGAGTAGTGAGTTTGATCCTCACTGGATGCTCAATGCATTCTGTCGTTGTGTCACACCTAAGCAAAACAAGGGTCAAAACAAGGGAAAATGAATGTTCCGGTCGTTTGAAAAAGGGACAACTTTTTGGCTCTTTTTACAAACAGTTAGTCCTTTGAAAACTTAAAATAAAATTACAGTCCTTATTTTCGTGTTCGGATGTGCAACAAGCACTGCTATTTTGTGTTCACAGATATATATGTTTGTTTGTTTGTTTTCAATGTACGCATCGATTTGGAAACAAAGCCTGTTGCCGGGATTTCGCCCTCGGTTTGTTGTCTCCCTATCGTCTTATCCACGAACTTCAACTGAAAGCGTTCTTTATTTGCAATCTGACTTTACAAACGCACGCATGGAACTGATTGCCTGTGCATTCAGATAATTTCCCATGTTGAATGACTGAACTTCAGTGACTCAACACTTTGCTCAATACCTCGGCAACAAAACCGACCTTCTGATTCAAACTGCAACTACTCTAAACATATATATATATATATATATATGTGCGTGTGTGCGTGTGTGTGTACTGCGAAAGAAAGATAAATGGAAATGGATAGAGAAAAATAGTGAAAAGTAAACAGAAAAAAGAAAGTAATAAGATTGAAAAAAAGAATATCTTATGTATCTGTATGAGTTACTTTCTTTTGGTTTCCGCCAATTCACCAAGTCTTCTTTATTTTTTCTCTTTGTCCTTATCTCTCCTAGCTCGCACTTTAAAATTAAATAAAAACAAAAATAAATGTCGCAAAAAGCAAATATTAACACTATTCTTGTTTCTTAAAAAATAAAAAAATCACTTTCGCGTAACTTTTTTTTTTTTTTCGGTAAACTTTTGTAAATTAAATAAAATTTAATTTCGACGAGTGTTCTTAAACTTTCTTCCAAATTAAATTTCCCAACGCTGATTTCATTACTTGTGTTATTACGCTTCCGCCCAACCTCGTTGATAATTTTTCCTCCGCTTGTTTTGGTTATTCCGAATTATCTCCCTTTGCAAATTTTCTTTGTATCTATTTGCATCGACTTCAAATTTCTTATGACGCCATTTTGATTTTTTAAGGGTTTTTGTGATTCGAAATAATTTTTTTCGTGTTCCAATTCAGTCGTCTAACTAGATTTTCATTTGACAGTTTTCGCTTCAAAAGAGAACGGACAATCATTGAAACGTTTGCAAAATTGTTAAATAAGTAAATAAAAGTCGAGGCATCTCTACTAGACATGCTTGGAGATAAAGTGTTATCTAAAAACAAAGTAAAAAAAAAGTTTTTAGTCGTCATTACAAACCAATGAGAGAAAAAAAAACATTCCATGTGTGTTATCTCACATGAGTGAAGGTTAGTCTGTCTTAAAGATCAGCATCCAAAATTTCATTTACTTGGGCTGGAACATTCATCGCTATTGCCTATATAAGTAACCCTGATATGAAGGTCTAAGATATTTAGATTGTCTTATATCGTATTCTTGTATCGGTGAAAATATCATAGCTATCATCATCATAACTGTCTCGTTACACTGCAAGTCAATGTGATTTCTAACTTTTCTTTTTCTTTTTTTTTTTATTAATCAATTCATCCAAAGCAGTGTGATAATGCCACTTAGATGCAAGGGGCTACTGGGAGTGAAAGACAACGAGAAGACTTTAGAAGGAACCGGAAATCCAATCCTATACAGGAAACCTCTACTCCTGTTAAAAAAGACCGGGGATGTGCGTGAACCAGACGATAGGTTAGCTTAACTACTATTAAGGAAAAAATAAACAGAAGTTACAATTTCAGAGTTTAAACAGAGACGTTAGAAATCTAGAGTTGAACTAGTCTTTACAACAAATCGGAAACACAATTCTAAACAGGAAAAAGGATAAACCTCTACTCCTGTTCAAAAAACCGAAGAGGAGTAAAAACTGGACGATAGCTGAACCTATCGTCTCCTATTGAGGAAAGAAATAAATAGTAAATAAAATTTAAGGGTTTAGGCAGAAATGTTAGAAGTATAGAGTTGAAGTAGACTTTAGAAGAAACTGGAAATCCAATCCTAAAAAGGATGCAAGTGATAAATCTCTTTTCCTTTTCAAAATACCGAGGAGTGGTTTTAATCTTCAGCAACGAGCATTCACCTCTACTCAAGACTATGTGAGTTTCTTTAACATACACAGAGCCAAAATATGGTTAATACCGAAACTGTGCTTAGGGAGCCTTAGTTATAATTCAAGTATTTACACCACTAGGACCACATACGGATTTAGATTTAGATTCACCATGACTACATAGGGTCTTCGATTCAGATTCACCAGTGCTGTATACGGTCTTGGATTCAGATTCACCAGAACAACATACGGCCTTGAATTCAGATTAACCAGGACCACATACGGTCTTGGTTTCAGCTTAACCAGGGCTATATAGGGTCTTGGATTCAAATTCACCAGGACCACATACGGTTTTGAATTCAGATTCACCAGGGCTACATATGGTCTTGGATTCAGATTCACCAGGACAACATATGGTCTTGGATTCAGATTTAATCTTCTTTTATACTGGTTACCAACCACAGCCAGAGAGCTCATTCTACTCTGTGATTTAAACTATAACTGGCGGAAAAATGGATTCATATTTTCTTATGTGCATTTGTGCGAAAGTGAATGTTATGCTTTAGACTGTGATTCGATCTCTGCTTGCATCATTCTTGTTCCGAGATTCTAACCATTATACCACCCGCATATCCAAAATGCAGCCGGGATATTGATTACAGTTCGTAAGTTGTCCCCGCACCTTACAAGAGATCAGACCCGAAATCTGCTGAACAGTAAGACGTCTATCATCCAAAACCAGACGGCGAATGGCATCAAATCAGTGGATGAGGTTTTTCAGTGACCTGACTGACGGTCATCTTCTGTGCTGCCTCTGCACCGCTTGAATCCCGCAGCCCACTTCTTCATAGTTGCATAGTAAGGGGCGTCCTCAGAAAGTGTGTGGACCATGTCCTCATAGATTTCCTTGGGTGTTTCACTTCCTCTTCTCACTTGCTGACACTTTCTTTATATTTGCGTCTCACTCTCTCTTCCTCCCTCTCTCTCTCTCTCTCTCTTTCCCCCTCTCTCTCTTTATCTCTCTCTCTCTCTTTCCCTCTCTCTCTTTCCCTCTCTCTATTCCTCTCTCTCTCTCTTTCCCCCCTCTCTCTCTCTCTTTCCCTCTCTCTCCCTTAAATGCTATTTTTATTTCAGTTTTTGCTTCCTTATTCCAGATTTTTCTTCATTTACCGAATATATTTAATTTTTAACTTCTCTTATTCTATATCTGTCTGTATCTCTGAGTTGAGGTATTATGATTATTTACATTATTTACATTATTTGGGCTGTTTCGGTCGTTGTACGCTACGGCCCTCTTCAGCCCAGTGGGTAAAGATGTCGGTTCGATCCAGTGATCCAGTGACTAGACCCAAAGAGTTGTGAATTCAGTACCAGGCTACAGCAGTAGTAAACCAAAAACTTGGAGAGTTGAGTTAAAGGGAAATAACTGAGACATCCGGAAGATGCATGGCACGTGGAACTAGAACAATCTACTCCCGGTGGAAGAAATATATGGTTCGGTTCGAAATTCCAATCACCTGAAGAAGGCCTGAGTGTACAACGTGGATATGGCAATGAAGATGAGAATAACAGAATAATGTGAATAATATAAATTTTCTTATTCTTCATTCCTCTCCTCAACCGTCTTTAACTTCCTCTTTCAATCTTCTTTCCAGCTTTCTTCCTTTTCCATTTCTCTCTCTCTCTCTCTCTCTTTCTCTCTCTCTCTCTCTCTTTCTCTTTCGTCTTTTCCCTTCTTTCTTCCTCTTTCTTACTTTTTTCTTCATTTGTCCTTCTTTAGTTTTATTTTATTATCTAACCGCTGCTCTTCTGCATTTTCAAATTCTTCTTTCTTTCTCAGTTGTCTTTCAGTCCACCTCTCTCTCTTTCTCTCTCTCTCTCTCTCTCTCTTTTTCTTTCTTTCACTCGGCTTCTCTCTCCGTCCTGGATATGACGATAAACTACATCCGCGTTCTGGGTAGGACGATAAAATACATCTAACAGCGGGTCCTCTGGTCAGGAGGTTTTGAAGAGCGTGGAACCGCCTCTTATTTGCTGGTGTTCCTAGGTCCACTCTGACCCGTGGTGGTGGCACTTGTTCGGGTCCCAACTATGGGCAAGTAGTTGGTCCCAAAACTAGGGTCAAAACTCTGTGAAGGTGTAGAAATGGGTTTTAAACTACCAGAAATGCATTGTAAATATTATTACCATCTATACATTTTTAAAAAGAACAATATTACCAGCGATACATTATTGAAGAAAAAATATTACCAGCAATTTTTAAAAGGAAAATATTACCAGTAATTTTTTAAAGGAAAATATTACCAGTAATTTTTTAAAGGAAAATATTACCAGTAATTTTTAAAAGGAAAATATTACCAGTAATTTATTAAAGGAAAATATTACCAGTAATTTTTTAAAGGAAAATATTACCAGCAATTTTTAAAAGGAAAATATTACCAGTAATTTATTAAAGGAAAATATTACCAGTAATTTTTTAAAGGAAAATATTACCAGCAAAAAATGGCCTGCATTAAATAACCCATTCTGACTGATATGCCGTAAAACAAACCAAACCATCTCCCCACCTCCTTATCTTTCTCTCTTTTTCTCTTTCACTTCTCTCCATCGTCACTTTTTCACGCTTCTTAACTTTTTCTTTCTTATTTTCTTTCTCACTCCTCCTCTGGTCTTTTTTTTACCTTCTTTACTTTTTTTTCTTCTATTTCGCCTCTTGCTTTTTGTCTTCTCTTTCGTTTCACCTCCTTCCTTTACTCCTTCCTCTCTTTATCTATTCCCATCTTATTTCTTTCCAGTTTACGTTTCATTCGAAACTTTCATATGAATGTCGTTCTTGTTACCAAAATACAGAAATTGTTCAAAAAAAGCCGCTGAAAGTTTATTTTATTGTCATCTCTCGTTAATAGTTTTTTTTTTTCTCATTCTCTAACACTCCATAACCCATTGCGTCTCAGTGGCTTTATTAATTTGCTTGGGATGAAATTATTAAAAAAAAAAAAAAGGTTTCAGATAAGCATATAGGTCTTAGCGAAGATCATCTCTCTTCCAATCTCGGGAACTGGCGCTACAGAATCACAAAAACCTGTACCAAATAACAAAAACCACATCACTTAAGGACTTTCAACAACAGCAACAACTAAAATGGATATCACATGTAACTCAAAAAAAAATAGTAATGTAACCAGGTTCATACTCTATACTTCTTCTTCTATGTGCCGTGTCCGTTCAAGACGTTGACGATCATAACTCTCCACAATTTCCTGTCATTTCTAGCGCGCAATGAATTTTGTCTTTTGGCCATTACTCAAAAAAAAAAACTGCTCCGTCATCCATTATGGTTAAGCGTTGTTGTTCTGTTACTCTTTCCTTCAATCTGTCCTGTGAGTATCAAATTTTCCAAGCTTCTTTCCTCGTTATGTACTTTAGAAATTTCAACTGTCTCTTCTTTATTTTTATATTTTTGTTTACATAGTCTTATCTTTATGACCAACCAAAAAAAGTCCTTTTTTCAATGTTTGTTTAAATTAATCAATTAAAAGCTTACAATATTCACTTGTTTGTTGACAAACTACATTTTCTGGTTAAATGTAAATGTTTCGCAAATATATTTTGATTAAAGTAACAGTATTTTATATATTTTTTAACCCTTTTGTATGTGCTCTGAAGATTTAAACCGGGGGTGTATTTAAATTGTTGTACTTGTTTGATTTCTGTAACACCAATTCGTAATTTGAATGTTGGGTTATTGCTTTTGTTAGCAACCGTTCATTCAGTCTTCTTGCAATCGATGTTTAGTTCGTTCTTCTCGCCATCTTTCACCACCTTCTGTAGGAGGTCACGTAGCTACCTTTCTGTGTCTGCTATAAACACTGTGCCATCTTAGGTTGTCAATATTGCGTCAGTCAATAATGAATCCTGATAGAACTTATAATTTTCTCCGAATCGCCTCTCTGAATCTTTTGAATAAGTCAAGTGAGAAGACATATTCTTGGAGACTCGGGTTTGAATCCAGCCGGAGGCAGCATATTTTTCTAACAAACATTTATCGAATATTCCTTACCCAATTAACCAGTGCCCTTCTACAAACTGACTGTTTGAAAAATCCTGGGAATTTTAAATTTTGCTCTGTTTCATAAAAAATAAACATTAAGTGCTATTTGTGAGTCAGTTTTAACATTTAATATTTAATATTTCAAATTCTATATTGTGTTAATAGGACTGGCTTGGATTATACCAATGGATTACTACCTTTAAATATATATATATATATATATATATATATATATATATATATATATATATATATACATATATAATGATCTTCTTATCGCCTTGCTTGGGGTGAAATGATGTGAGAGAGAGAGAGAGAGAGGGCGAGAGAGTCGTTTTCTACCCTATTTCTCTCTCTCTCTCTCTCTCTCTCTCACACACACACACACACACACACACACACACACATCTTCGTCTATCATTTAGCGTCCTACCCCTGGTCCCAACTCAGCCACATCTTTCTGTCTCAACCCTATATATTCTCCACAGGGAGTGTCAAGTTTCTCGACTGTTTGCTCCAGTGTTTGGTAAGACGTGACTGGACAAACGGGCTGGTCCTTTGGCAAATGGTCGCTTCTGTTGACAGGTGCACACCCGTTGGCTGCCATTTCCAAACAACAACTGCACGAACACGTTTAACGCGTTTCATATCGAACCGGTTGTTATGGTAACGAGTAGCAGCCGGAAGGGAAAGACACCTAGATATTCACCGTCGCTTTATTCTATGAGAATCTCATTCATTTTCCACCAACTCATTCGAATCTATCTATCTATCTATCTATCTATCTATCTATCTATCTATCGTTTAATATTTATTCTTATTCATGTCTATCTCATTTTTAGATCTATCAATATATATATATATATATATATATATATATATATATTCATATTTATCTCATTCTGTTCGTGATATCTATCTATTTCATTCTTATCATTATCTGCCTATCAATCTATCTAATTATGTTCATTTTCCATCTATTTCATTCTATTCTTATTTCATTCTGCTCATTATCTCTGTCTATCTATCTATCTATCTATCTATCTATCTATCTATCTATCTGTCTAATTATAATCATTACGTACCTATCAAATTATTTTCATTATCTGTCTAATTCTATTCATATCTATTTTATTCTGTTCGTTATCTCGATCTATCTATCTCATTTTTATTATTATCTATCAATCTATCTAATTATGTTCATTAACTATCTATCTATCACATTCTATCCTTATCTATCTCAGACCGATCATTATCTCTGTATCTATCTATCTATCTATCTATCTATCTATCTATCTATCTATCTATTCGTTTGTCTAATTCTATTCATATCTATCTCATTCTGCTCATTATCACTATTATCTATCTATCTCATTATGATCATGATCTATCTATCTATATAGATAGATAGATAGATATCTGCATTCAAAATCATCGCCTTTTATTAGGGTTCGTACAATAACGGCAGGCATTTGTGTATATATATATATATATATATATATATATATATATATATATATATTCAAGTAACTCAACTACGAAACACGCAATAGCTAGATAATCAATATAGATATATATATATATATATATATATATATATATATATATATATATATATATATATATATATATATATATATCCCGCTATGAAAAGTCGAATGATGTGTGCTTTGGGTAACATTGAGTACCACTGTAAAGTATGAATCCATCTCTTCTCCTACCTATGGGTTAAATAACATAGTACTCTGTGCTCTTTTGAATGAACGCTATAAAGGATAATCTGAATTCAAAAACTTTGGCGAAAGCAACGGAAAACCACACCCATCTCTTTCCCAAGAAGTCAGTCATGATATTAAAACACATTAAAAAAAAAAAAGAAACAAAAGCAAGTTGCACAGAGCAATTATCGCTTATGTCCTGGAGTACCGTGACATTTTAAAAAATTAATTTATACACGTAGTTTTTGGTTGGAACGAACGAAAAAACCTAAAGTTTTTATCTAATACGCAATATTTTACTCGTTATGAGTCACTTTGATGTGGTTAATTTAAAATAATATCATATACTAGGTGATTGAGAACTGATTTTTAATTCTCGTCTTCACTGACAGGGCGTTTAGTTTTGTCTTATAAGCAAACATTCTACTGCGATAGACAGGGTGTTTCAAAAAATTTGATGTCATTCCAGATATAAAATATCTGAATAACTGCATAGTCTATACAAATGAAAGTAAGCAGGCTCATTGCTGAGGAAAATAAGATTTATTCATCAAAAATTTGAATAGGAAATGAAGTTGATTTCATAAACGATTTTACAAGGTTTCACCTGTTTTCAATATATGCACCGTCTGTGACTTCTGTCCTCCAGATCCTTTTGCCCTATACAGGTCCTCTTTGAATTTTCTGTGCTATGTCCAAATCTACATTTCATTTGGTGCATTTTTAGCGCACTCTCTCACAAATGCACACTGTACAGTCATGTCCAACCATGTCTGATTATGCTCCAACATTTTTCCAGTGAAAAGAGAAAATATAAAACATGAAATAGAAAATTTTGAGTTTAAATCTCAGACCATTTGAACGAGAATGGGTCATTGGTTTGTTTTACGGCATATCAACCTAAATGGGTTATTTAATACCGACAAAATTTTTATTGCTGCTTATATTGTGTTTTTTGGGGGGTTTTTTGTAAATCTATTTCTAGTAATATTTTTTCGTTCAAAAATGTATTGCTGGTAATAACTTTTTTTTCCAAAAATGTATTTCTGGTATTAAAACCTATTTTTACACTTTCATAGTGTTTTGACCCAAGTTTTGGCGTTAACTATTTGCCTATAGCTGGGACCCTAACAGGTGCTACCACCTCGGGAACACCAGCAATTAACAAGTGGTTCCACGCTTCTCGAAACCTCCTGATCAGAGGCTTTGCTGTCGGACGAAGTTTATCGTCTTACTCAGGACGTGGATGTAGCTTATCGTCATACACAGGACGAGAGAACGGGTCAAGTTATTAGATTACGAAATGATATCAATTTTTCTGAAACACCCTGTATTTAGTAAGCTTAGCTTCGATAATTATTTGTACGTGATACACGCTTGGGCGATCATGTCTCTTTCGATTCATGAGTGATTGGGCAGAAGAATTTCCCGCAGTAGGACCCAATATGTTCTGGCATTCAACCCATAGTGGGGGAGAAGAGATGGATTTATACCCTTCCCAAGGTTATTTGTGAATGCAACGAACCCGACTGGCTCTCCGATTGTTATTTCCGAGCGGTTGTATATTACATCACTACGACAATACAAGCGTATCTCTTGAAAATCTTCATTCAAAATCATGGGTTTCGCCAGGGTTCGAACACTGGTACTACGTCAGCACGAAGCAGGCCACACATTACTTCACATTTTTGTGTGTGCAAAAAGATATAATAATTGTTGATCGTTGATACACTTTGGATGAAGAAAATGAAAGCTATGTTTATAAAGAACAATACACCCGCTCATTTTCAAATTAGTTTTTAACTGTAGAATATTGATAGCGTTTTTTTTGGGGGGGGGTTGTTTTTTGTTTGTTTTTTTAGGGGTAGGGTGGCTTTTTCTTTTTTTTCTTTTTTTTTTTTTTTTTTGCTATCCCGATACCACTTTTACTTTTTCCTCGTCTTTTTGCCACTACACATATCTATCACTGTCTTTTCATATCTATCTATCTATATATCTATCAGTCTGTTTGTCTGTCTGTCTATCTATCTATCTATCTATCTATCTATCTATCTAAACACCGTTTATTATATCTGTCTCTTTCTATTTATATCTATCAAGCTCAGTGATCTCACAATCAAGGCATCTATTTAATAGGTTTTTTCATATCTGTCGCACACATTCATATATTCTCTCATTCACTGATTATCTATCGATTTATCTATCTCATACCATTTATATCTTCCTCTGTCTATTATATCTGTCTCTGTCTAGTCATATCTACCTCTGCTAATATCTATCTATCTATCTATCTATCTATCTATCTATCTATCTATCCCATACCGTTTATATCCGGCTCTGTATATTCATATCTACCTCTGCTAATATCTATCTATCTATCTATCTATCTATCTATCTATCTATCTATCTATCTATCTATCTATCTATCTATCTATCTATCTATCCCATACCGTTTATATCCGGCTCTGTATATTCATATCTATCTATCTATCTATCTATCTATCTATCTATCTATCTATCTATCTATCTATCTATCTATCCCATACCGTTTATATCCGGCTCTGTATATTCATATCTATCTATCTATCTATCTATCTATCTATCTATCTATCTATCTATCTATCTATCTATCTGATTCTGTTTATTGTCTATCTATCTATCTAATAAAATATACCTTCCTCCTCTCTGATACGTCTGAGATCTTGATTCCACCATGTTCTTTTCCTTGTCGCCTTCTTTCTTCTCCTCCTTGTCCTCGTGTTCATCTTCAACACTCCCATTACACCGCTCAGTGACAACTTTCATTATTATTATTAGCAGTAGTGTCTTGTTGTTGTTGTTGTCTGTCATGTGTGACAGTGTCCGTCTACCAGCACCTTGCTAACAGCCTGACATTCGATCCTGTCGTCTGTTCCCTGGTATCTGAATGGACTGATCGCTTGGTCCGTTGCCCAGCAACGCAGCCTCTTACACGAACATCTGTATCCACCTTGCCACTTGTATGGCCTCTTCACATCAATTTAGATGGGGAAAGAAAGAAAGAAAGAAAGAAAGAAAGAAAGAAAGAAAGAAAGAGTAATATTTTTACAGTATGGGAGTCATAGATTTTGACGAAAACAAAACTGCAGTGACTGCTATTTCGGACTGATATTATGTAGCATTGTCGTTCTTCTATTGCAATCTGCAGTTCAAATCATGGCCTTCACTTTGGATAAAACCGATCGCAATCATGCTACCGTTTTCAGCTAACAAGTACATTCTACAGATAACGATGTATAAGCCCTTCAGATTGTACAATGTTGTAAATGTTTGTTCTTTTAGGAAAGGAGTTATAATTACTTGCATTATTTACATTATTCGGATTGTTATCCTTATCTTCATTGCCATATTCACAACGCGTCGATCGTTGTACGCTCCGGCCTTCATCAGTTGACTGGAATTTTGAACCGAACCCTTTATTTCGTCTATGCCTCTGGGAGATGTCCTCAAGGATACATGGCCCAGTGGATAAAGACGTTAGTGAGATCCAGTGACTAGACCCAAAGTGGTGTGAGTTCAATACCAGGCCACGGCATTTGTGAACCAAAACTTGGAAAGTTGTTAAGGGGAAATAACTGAGACATCCAATAACGTGAAGAAGGCCGGGGCGTATCACGCCCGAAAAGTTTTAAATATGGCAACGAAGATGTGGATAACAGTCCGAATAATGTAAATAATATAAGTAATCATACCTCATCTCAGAGATATAGACAGAGAGAGTTATAATGTAGAGCCAATCTTCGAAAGATCACAGTGAGTAACCTGCGTTAAAAAATTGTATTCGAAATCCAATTCCTTACTGGATATGATACTCGGTAATAGATACCGAACTCGGCCTCTTGAGCCATGGTAAAAGATCGAGATAGATAGATAGATGTGAATGAAGGAATAAAGAAAAGTGGGAGGGAGCAAGAGAGAAAGGGAAAGATCTTGAAAAAAGAGAAAAGAAATGTGTGGGTGTAAAAGAGGAAAGAAACGGGGGGGATTGTAAAAGTGTATCAGTAAAATAAAAATGTCTCATAAACGAAGATCTATGAAGAATAGCACTGGTAAATAAAGTACTTTTTTATGCGATAGGTGTTAAACTGAAAGAGAAAAATGAGTCAAAAAGCAACAGACGACACCAAGTAAGGAAAGAAAAAAAGGAATGAATGGTTAAAACGATATATAAAAAGGCAGTATTTTTTTCTTTTCTCAGTAAATGCCACTTTTTTGATAGAAAAAAAAAGAGAAATATGAATAAAATTTATATTATCGGTAAAGAAAGAAAGAAAGAAAGAAGGAAGGAAATATGAATAAGTATTTACTGTTATCGAGAAAGAAAGAAATAAAGATGAATAAGGATTAACTGAAAGAAAGAAAGAAAGAAAGAAAGAAAGAAAGAAAGAAAGAAAGAAAGAAAGAAAGAAAGAAAGATTAATAGAAAAAATGTTATCGTTTAGGAAAGAAAGGTGAATAACGAATGTTATCGAAAAAAGAAGGGAAGAAAGAATGAAAGATGAATAAGGGTTAACTGAATGTTATCGTGAAAGAAAGAAAGAAAGAAAGAAAGAAAGAATATGAATAAGGGTTAACTGAATGTTATCATGAAAGAAAGAAAGAAAGAAAGAAAGAAAGAAAAAGAAAGAAATAAAGAAAGAAAAAGAAAAAAGAAATTGAGAAAGATATATGAATAAAGATTTGCTGAATGTTATCGAGAAAGAAAGAAAAAAAACGAATGAAAGAGATTGATATGAAGAAATACTAATTGAATGTTATCGTTAAAGAAAGAAAGAAAGTGATATAAAGGATTAACTGAGAAATGAAAATAAAAGGAAAAATAAGAAGACAATATACGTGAGTGAAAAGCAAATAAACGGTCGTCTGTTAGTATAGCTTCTGTCCAATCAAGACCCTGCAAAACAATTCCAGCACTTCCGCCAACACCGGCCGCTTCTTGATACTTAAAACCACATACGCACGCATCCTAACCTGATATCGAGAGCAATTGAGCCGCGGTCACTCTCTTACTGATCACGAGTTGTGAGACTGTCATTTCAGTTGGCCTCCAATCAACGATGGTCAACTTGGCAGGTTGTGGTCACTTGTTATTATCTCGTATTTGCTGACCGCCTGCTACCTGATTTGCTTCTTCTAAGTAACCATCTTTCAGTTTGGGGCGGGGGGGTAGTAAAGTCCTCTACTCGAAAATCTCCTCTTCCTTCTCTTTCTTCTTCTTTCATTGATTCGCTTTTATTATTTCTTATAACAGATTTCTTTTTCTTCTTTCTTTTATTTTAATCTTTCTCTCTCACGTCGACGTTCGTTTAGCTTTCTTCTACTTCTTTATTCCTACCCTCATTTATTCTTTTTTTCTTTCTTTCTTTTCTCTTCCCTTTTAGCTTTCCCCCGTTTTACTTTACATTTCTCTTTTCTTTCCTCTTGAAACATTCTCTTTTTCTCCCTCACTTATATAAATTGATATAAAGAGTCCGCACAAATGGCAAACGCGAAAGAGATATCTCGATAAGTGGTAGCGTTGCCAAGCAACTTGGTATTTTTAAAATCCCTGATACCCTACTAAATTTATAATTAGCCTGCATCACATCTTTTCAGCATGTAAAATCTCCAATGTCGACTTGGTAAATAATTCCCTCCGATGATGTTTTTTTTTCTTTATTTAAATTGAAATAACCCTGCAAAAAAATCTCGATATAAATTTAAGTAGTTATTAGGCACAGTGTGTCAGTTTTAACTCCTTTGATACTTGTAAAATCATTATCTATTAATCAGCAGTTTTATGGCTATTGCAGTTTTGAACTAAAATAATTTGTCCTTTAAAAAAAAAACTTCAGTTGCAACTCTACTTCCTCTAGCTAGAAAGATTAGCTGTAAGATATCCAATAATTTGAAACATGATTTTTTTAAACCCACTGCAAAGGATTAACCATTAAATTACTTGTTTTTTTCTTGTTCTTACAAGTATTGTCAAATTACCCCATAAGTTTTTAATTAGATTCAAATCAGGACTTTGTAAATACATTCTTATTCTGAATATGTTTCTAGATTAATTTCGAAGCTTCATTTCGATCGTTGCCATGCATAAAAGTCAACCAACGATTCGGTTTCAGATTTCTAACGGACACTTTCAAATTGGAATCCATTATTTCACAATAATCCTCTTTTTTCATTAAACTATTAACTCTTACCAAGCTTCTTTTTCATTTTGCAGAGAAGCGACCCCAAAATATAATACTTCCTTTTCCATGTTTTGTTATAGAAACGGTATCCTTTGGATTGAAAGCCCAGCCCTGACATCTTAAAACAAATCTCTTGTCATTATATTAAAAAAAGGTCTAGTTTTGTTTCATATGCACATAATATATTCGCCCAGAATAAGATACGTTTATCAATATACTCCTCTGCAAATGCTAAATTAGCATTAGCAGCCAAAGCTCTCAACAACACTAGGCGCATCGTCTAGTGTAGCAATGGTTTCCATAGCAAGTAAGTTTTTTTTTACGGGAAGAAGTTGCTAGCCTTATACCCAACCGGTTTTGTACCACGCTATCATAAGCAATGTCCCATTTTAATATTGACTGAGATCGACACTTCTTATCTTCGGTGATCAAACGCGAACCGGTACCTCAACGTAATTGAACCGCAAACATTTAGAAGAAGGACGCGACAAGATCAGTATACTTAGACTGTGCAAGGTTCTAGTAATAGTATTTGTTGTTATTATCACTCCAGAATCTTCTAATTTATTCTTGAAGTCCTTACATAATTTTTAACACTTCTTAAACAGTTACTTCTTACCAATTTATTCGCAATAGTATATTCTACCAAACATTGCAATGACGTTTTGAAGAGTTTATTTAAGGATAATAAATCGTTTAGTTATCAATCCATTGTATGCCAGTGAATGCTGGACAATCTCCTCACAAATCATGAGGAAACTGATGGAAACAGAAATGTGAATCTACAGAAGGATATTAAGATATGGACAAAGCGCGCAAGAAACGAAGAATCCTTAAGAAAAATGGAAACAAAAAGGACACGAAAAACTAAAATCAAAAAGAGACAGGTCAAATTTATTGGACTTAATGGGGAATGAGGCTTTGAAAACACTCACATTGCATACTGAGAGTAAGAGGAACAGGGAAAGACAGTGAGCCACTGACTTACTCAATATGCTTTGCAAAACGATCGACAAATTCTTTGGCTGATACGATTGCCAGGCCTGTCCTTCAGTGAACATAAATAGGACCGTACCGGTAAGTTCATCGCTATCAATCGAGGAAGGTTCGACATGAGGAAAGTACTTCACGAAAAAAAGTTCACCGTTAGAAAATTTCACCGTAAAATGATAAGAAATAAACAATTTTTAATGATTTCTAATTTTGTTGATCTAAAACATTTTAAAAATGGAGTAAAATTAAATAATAACTAACATTATGAGTTTTAATTTAAGTAATTTAATAATTCGGTTTCTAATAACTGATATCCTTCGCTATCCCCCTTGAGTAGTTAGAGACACAATTATCTTCGTTGTAATTTAAAACGAGTCTTCCAATTCGACCGGCAAAAGTTAGTTTGGGTTTGATTTTAGTTAGATTTCATTTCTTCCGTTATGATCACTTCAATCCGTTTAACTATTATGGAAAATTCTAGATTTTGGTTTGGGTCAATTCTCATTGGTCAGTTACCTATCACGTGCATAAAAACCGTAGATAATCTCTAAGTATATAAAAGGCAGTGTGTGTGTGTGTGTGTG